TTATACGGCGAGTATATAACAAACTCTGTATTTTGAGTGGAAATGTTAGGGGGTCGTCTTATACGCCCAGTCGTCTTATACGCCGGCAAATACGGTACTGAACACCTACCATGTGTCGGTTCTATCTGTAGTCACTGGGAACACAGTGACACCCCACCTCCCCAAGAGAGTAGCCTGGCATCATCTCCCTAATCCTTAAATGATCACTTACCCATTATCTGTGTTACTATCACTCACCCACTGCCATCTTTGTCCCTCCAGCCTTATCCTGCTTCATTTTCCTCCAGAGCCATCTGATATATAGATCTCATATGTATGACATCTAAAGGACATGTGATACATATGTTGTCTTCATCTCTCCCCACCTCCCAGGGCTATGAGTGCCTGAAGACACATCGTCGCTGCATGACTCCCAGCCCACAGAACAACCTCCAGACAGAGTAAAAGTCAGCAAATATTTGCTGAATAAATGAATAACGAAAAGAACATTTCAGTCAGCAAGGGCCTGAGCCATGCTGCTCTCTGGTAGGAGAAAGAAAAGCACAACAAAAGCCACACTTGTTCTGGCCCAGGAACCACCGGGGGGAGGAAACCCAGAGAGCAGGGGAGGAGGGCTGCATGGCCTGGTCTTTCTCCTTGCTTCATGTTAAGTGTTCAAGTGTGTTGCTTCCACATGCATCCTGTGCATATATAAATCTATATTTCCATCTATATTTAAAAAAAATTTTTAAGTTTAATGAAAAGGAATCCAAGCTTCCCCAAGTACTTCCCCAGGCCTGAGACCCCCCAGAGTAGAGAATGGACCCAAACACCCTGTCTCCGCCAGCTTCACAGAGGCCAGACCCTGGCCACTCCGTGCTCACCGCCACTGTGGCTCGAGCCAGGCAGGAAGAGACCAAAGTGCGCTCAGTAAAACTAACCCACAGGGCAGACAGCACAGCACCCAGCCAGGGGCCCCTTCCCACGGTCTGGCTTTGGAGCAGGGCACACCCTGCTCTGTGCACACACCTGCTCTGTGCACACCCTGCTCTCTGCACACCTGCTCTCTGCACACCGGCCCCGACAGCTAAAGGCCCCTGGGCTTGTGTTGGTTTTATGACAGTGCACAACCTGCCTACGGGCACCGGGAGAGGAAGTGCTGGCGGCTTTTGGCAGACAGGCCAGAGGCAGTGGCCAGCGGCTGCCCCACTGTTTACCGGCATCTCCGCCAAGCGTGTCCGAATCCTGGAAAAGCTTTCATCCCAGCTTGGTCATGGCAATGAAAGCAACGCCCTTGCGGTACCCCCACGGGCTCCCAGGTGACATGGTCACACTCACCTCCTCGTTCTGATAGGCCGTCACAGCTATGAACTGGGTCTCAGGGAAGGAGCAGTTCATCACCATTCGATGGGCCCCGCCCACACGCACGATGTGAACCTGGGGTTCGTACTTATGCAGAGAATTCAGCATTATCTGTTGAGGTGGAAGGAGAAGAGAAAGACAAGAATGCAGAGCCAGGTGGTTCAGAGGTGACAAACACACAGCTGGCCGGCACCCACCCAGTTAGGACCACACACCTGGAATCCTCTGTCACCTGAGCTGGCACCACACCTCCCTAAGAACTGAAAGCGGGGAGGGGCGTCAGAAGCTCCCAGGGCCAGTAACACTGCGGGGTGGGGGTGTTGCCAGGGAGTTGTTATAAGGTGCTCAGTTTTGCTGCCCAAATCCTGGCTTCCTTGTTTTTTTCAACGGCATGGATTTTGACTCACTAAGACATATTGGTTTTCTTCATAGAGAAATCCTAGCATTTTGAAACGCTGACTATGGCTGCATTTCACAAGGGACAACTACCTAAAGAGTACTGATATCTGATATCTGCTGCTTACGTAAAACCCACGCTGGGCTTCAAATGAAAGGTTTGGAGAACGTCTCAGGTTGTGAAATCTGGGATGCAATAACAGTTTATTTTTCAATTTCCTGTTTTAATCAAGCACTGGAACCTGCTGAGTGTTGCAAAGACTTGGGTGGGTTGCCCCCCTTCCTAAAACATGAACTCTTACGTCCCAATAGGCTAAACACAGAGAGAGAGCAAGGAAGGGACGCAATGAGTGAGGGCTAGGAGGCGGACCAGAGAGAAATATGGGGGACTAGACCTTGCCCTCTGATTGCCCCCAAAACAGTCTACATTTTACAAAGCAAATAACCTTACGCAGTGTACTAGCACTCATAATCCTACCAGAGAAAACAAAAGAGAAAAAAGCCCCCAAATCTTGTTTACGCTAATAGGAGACCTTAAATAAAACCTCCCTTATTTCAGGTTTGTTTGGATTTTTCTTTCTTTTTTTTTTTTTTCTGAAAACCCAAAGCTGATTCAATTTCTATTGATAATTATCCTAATGCCCAAGTGGAAGTAGCAATTATTTCATTTAGGCGCAGCTTTTTATTAAGGGATCTGGCCATTGCCAACATACCACTTACACCAAAAACAGGGGGAGAGGGAATAACAAAACGTGGTACCCACAAAACCTCTCCCTCCCGGGTGGGTAAAAAGCAACACACATAAGACAGAACTCTGAAAGGGCCCCTGATGATTAAGTTAAGTACAGCAGCGCTCACTCTTTTAACATCAGGAAGTCCATTAAAAACTGAAAGCACCAATTAAGAGCTGTTTATTCCTGTTTACATTTGGACTCCAGGGAATGACTGGCTTCTGTGGGAGAAGAGGCCAGCGAGGACCTCACTAATTGCCTAAATGCACTCTTGATATTTCTTGATTGGCGGTGTGGGGTGGCGGGTGGCCGGGCGACCCGGGCATACCTGCCCACCTCCGTTGAGCTTGTTGGTGAGCTTGACCTTGCTGAAGGAGATGGGCGCCTTCATCCAGTGGGCCCCGAAGTTGGGGGAGTCCGGGTGGATGTAGACGCAGCTGTGGCTGGAGACCTCCGGCTTGCCCGCGGGCACCCATTCCCCATTGACATACTTCCAGCGGTGACTGTCCGTTGGGACAAAGTCCAGCAGGAGGGAGTACATGGCATTGGGGTCCAGCCCCGTGACACTGATCTTTAGAACAGGGAACATTCGTCTAAAATAAAAGGCAGGAACAGCCCCAGGAGGGATGTTAGAATGTTAGGGTCACTGCCCCCCTCGTCCAGCCATCTGCCCACGCTGAGGAGACCTTTAGTGGACATAGACAATGCCCAGGGAGAGGCCAAATAAAGAGGGGCCAGGCCAGCAGCCCCCATTCCAAGAGTCCCTTTTCATAAATGCATGTGATAGTGGGGCTTCCCTTTAAACCACTGTGCTCCATTTTTAAAGGCTGAAAACCACTGATCTAGTCATTTGACGGAGGAGCCTGAAGCCCACGGTGTACAGCCAGATGCCACGTTCACACAGAGAGCTCTCTTCCCAGTCGTCCTCCTGACACACATCAGATCCTCACGCTAACGCCAGAGCAGTCCTTCCCAGTCTCACAAAGAATTCCAGCTCTGAATAACAGCGGCAGCACTGATAGTGAAAACGTGGCTCACGGTAACATAAGTGAGGGGAACTCTTGGCTCTACCAAGTTAGACCAGTTCCTTTCTTGCAGGACTTCTCAGGGCCTTTACTATACTAATGTACACTATAAACCTTTGAGGAAGACATATGGGACGGTGTACATGCTGAACTCAAATGACAGTGCAGCCATCTTTTCACTGAGCCTTTTGAGGGAATCTGTGCTCAAGGGATATACTTGGAGACATGCTAATCTGGATTCACTGGTCCTTCTGTCCCCTCAAAAAATACCCAGTAAGTTTGCGCTCGCAAATATTTGGAGACGTGACCTCACCTGGCTTCTGATTCCCTTCGGTTTATTTTTCCTTCACCAAACATTCTAGGTTGCTCCAATCTTTCCTCGAAAGACCTGGTTTCTGGATATATACCCCACCCCTACCTGATTGCCTGTCAATGCCTCTTGTACAACTGGAACCCCCAAATCGCAACACGGACAATCTAGAGTCTAGACACTCACGACTCCAAGTTGTCCATGAACCAGCAGCATCTGTATCGGCTGGGGGTTTCCAGGCATGCAAAGCCTCAGGCTTCACTCCAGACTACTCAGTCAGAATCCGTGCGTTTTCAACATCCCCAGGGGAGTCACAGGAACGTGAAAGCTTTAGATGTACTGGTCTAGAGTCTCTTTAGCTTTTAAGAAAATAGCTAACGAGTTGCATAAGGGAATGGGGGGGTGAGCGGAGAGTCACTCTTAGGACTTGTGCTTCTGATGAGCTGGGAGGACAACAGAAAGGAAAAAGCTGCCATGGACCCACTGCTAAGAGGAGGGGCCCGAGGATGCCAGGGATGGAGGCAAAAGCAAGGATGGGCACAGATGAGACTCTGGAGGGTCACCAAGGGCATACTCCTGTGTGCAGGGGTGCCCAGGTAGAACGGGTATTGTTACACATGGAAAAGGACTGGCCGACACACGACAAGGAACAGACCTGGAGATGGACTCAAGCCTTCCAGGCTCCCAGGCCCCTGAGTGAAAATGACAGGACTCCTTGAGCTGTTTGGACATCAGTAGGTTTTTGGGGTTTTTTTCCCTTGGCTCACCCCCCTCGTCAATATTTCCTTTCCAACTCCATGGCTGGGGAATTTACCATCAGATCGACCACGGTCCCTATCTCTGTCTGGCACTGAGGAAGTAAGCACTCAGCAGCTAGTACCTTTGACAGGCCATATGGACGGATGACTTTGAGTGTAGGTTCTGGTTCCGTTTGCCTGGTTTCAACTCCCATGCTTCCCAAATGTACGGCCGTAAGCTGCCCTACTTAGACTCTCCAAGCTTCAATTCCAGCATCCCTCTCACCCAGCCTCGTAAAGTTGTTGCAAGAACTCAATGAGCAAAAACAAAATTTTAATTAAAAAACTCAGTGAGCTAATTTGTGCACAATGCTTATCCTAATACGTAGCACCTAATAACTGCTTTGCACATGTCGGCTGTTGTTGTTACATCCAAGCCCATCGCCTGGCCCAACTCAGTTTGTGTTCTAGAATCTTACCTTGGAGAGTGGCTTTGGAAGGTGGAAACACAAAGGACATCAACTCTGCCTCCCTCCTGACCAACTGACTGAAACCACTTCCCTCCACTTTTCTTTCTGGAGATAGGAAGTTGAGGTAGAGTGGGGAATGACCGCTAATGGCTGTGGGGTATCTTCTGGAGGGTGATGAGAATGTTCTAGAACTAGACATGATCGTTGCACAACTTTGTGAATATTCTAAAAACGACTGAAGTGTATGTACACTTACAAACGGTGAGTTTGATGGTGTATGATTATTTCTCAAAAGAGTAAATTAATAACTTTCCTATTACCTCAATTTTTATTCTCCAGCAATCATTTGCAAAGAGCCAGCAAATGGCAGACCCAGTGTCTTGTTCATGAAGCTCACATTCGAGTGGAGAAGTCAGCCAGCCAACATGTAAACAGGTTTTGTTGTTTTTAACAGATAAGATCATTTTAGGTTGCAAGAGTGCGGTGAAGGAACTAAAATGGGGGCTGTCACCCAGGGAGATTAAAGAGTAAGGAGCTATTCCCCATGGACCTCGGTAGGTCCAGGGGTGACCTTTAAGCTAAGACCTAAATAATGAGAAGACATGAGTCATGCAGATGCCAGAAATAAGCGATGCAAACAGAGCTACATACAAAAGGCCTAACAAGTGCCACAGCCCTACAGTCCGAAGGAGCCTGGACTCCTGAGGAAAGAGAAAGCCAGTGTGACTGGGGCAAAAGGAAGACAAAACTCAAACTGTCACTTCTGCTGCTGATGGGTCCGAGTGCCCGCCTCTCTCCCTCAACTCCCAAATGTCTCACATAGAACGCAGCATGACCTTAACTCCAGAATGAGATGCGTGTTGGCTTCTCTTCCCTCACGCTCCATTCAAGAGCTCCACCTGATGTCCTACAAACACCATGATCACAGGAAGAGCGTCTCAACGTCATTAGCTTAGAAGGAAAATGCAACCCAAACTGTAGTGAGATACCATTTCACATTCGGGGGGGGGGGGCGTCCTAAAACAGGTGAACAAGGACAAGAGCTGGCAAGGATGTGGAGAAACTGGGACGCTTCCACACTGCAGGTGGGAATGGAAGAGGTCTAACCACTTTGGAAGAGAGTCTGGGTGTTCTTCAGTTAGATGCAGAGTTACCATCGGACCCAGCAAGCCCAGTCCCAGGTATATATGCGAGGAAAACACGCATCCACACAAAACACAAATGTTCATGGCGGCCTTATTCGTAATAGCCCCAAAGTGGAAATAGCACATACGTCCATCAAAGGATGGATGGAGAAACAACATGGGATATATTTATACAATGGAATGTTATTTGGCAATAAAAATGCTGCAACGTGGATGAGCCTTGAGGACATGATGCTAAGTGAAAGAGGCCAGTGGCAAAGGACCACGTGTCGGGTGATTCCATTTGTACGAAATGGCCAAAGCAGGCACATCTATAGCGAGAGATACAAAGCAGATTAGTGGCTGCCGGGGCTGAAGAGGATGGGGGACGGGCAGGTGATGGCTAAGAATGCGGGGTTTCTTTGGGGAACAGTGAAAACGTTCTGACATCATTTGTGGGAATATATGCACAACTCTGTGAATATAACCCAAACCACTTGATAGTCAACAGGGAAATTGTACGGTATGTGAATCATCACAATAAAGCTATGAACAAAAAAAGAAGTGAAGAAGCCACAGTGTCCTTCTCTTAGGACACATCTGAAAAGCTGGAGAACGGCTTATTGCTTTATTCTCTTTAGTACTAAGTTAATTATGTTTATTTGTGTCACCACGCATGAACTCAGGAATGGGTGCTATGTCTCTTTTAGTCTCCACTATGCCAATGAGGAACACATCAGTCAGCTTGCCCAGAGCCTGCTAACGGGGACTGGCGCTCACCCTGCCCTCCCGCCTCACAATGGCCCGGATGCTATGGACTCACCTGTGGGCAGCGCTCAGCACCAGGTTTGTTTCCAGAAATGAGCTGCACTTCTAATCAAGCTGATTTTCCCTTTTCTTTCCAAGGTGTGACTAACCACAGACACACCTACTGAATATGAATAACTGTGAGTTTTAAATTAAACAAAAAAGGTAAGAAAGATGAGGAGGAGGAGGAGGCAAAAGGGAAAGATGGAGTAAAATGGAGGGAAACAGGAGGGAGGAAAAGGCGCCAGCCTCCCCGTTTCTGGGGATAATTCAGTGTTTTTCAGGGAAAATTCCCTCTTCACTAGTTCTGATGAGTGTCAGAGATGAGCCTGTGTAGATCTACATACAAACAGCTGTCCCTTTGAAAACGGGTCTTCCCATGCTTCTGTCAGTCTGTCCTATGCGATTTTAGGACTGGCTATCATGCAAAGCAATGAGACCTCAAGTACGCAGCAGCTGATGATCCCAACGAGGCTTTCAGAACAGTCAAAGCCAACTGTCCACAGCGGCAGGCGGCCACCATGCGAGTGAGCAGGGCTCGGGCTGCGTACTCAGCCCCAGGAATACTGTCATGGGCAGAGAAAGGCCCCAGGTCCAGGGGCTGGTGTGCACAACAGGGGTGGAGGATTTGGAGGACACACAGTGGGTCTACAAGCAGAGGAAAACGGGTACAAAGGAACCAGGAACTGATGGCTAGGCGTACAGAGGGGAAAAGAGAGGTGGCAAGTAAAGGGGACAACCAAACAAAAAAGATGTGTCTATACCGAGACCGGTGAAGCCTTGCTGACAATTTAATCTGTGAACTGAGAGACAGAGGTGCTTCCAGACCAAGCTCATTCGTTATCAGCCACCTCGCTCTCCCAGAGACTTGTCTTCCATCTTTACCTGAAGCATAAAGGGAGCTTTCTACCTATCTCCTGGCAAAATAAATCTTGACCCCAAGGGGGTGAGAGCCCTTCTGAGAATCTAGAAAAGATTCAGTCCACTGGTGGAGAAGAAACCATGGCGGGACCTCCACAGACAATAAGCAAACCGCATGGACTTTTCTACAAAGAAGAGTTTTCACACTTCAAACGTGAAAAGAATTTCAAATTTGAAACATGGAGAAAAAATTATCTAGGTGAAAAAAGGCAAGAGAAAGTACATGTCAATATGACGCCATATTATTAAATTGAATGTTACAATGGTTTCAGAAACTTGTATTTATTCCTTATTAAAACAGATGAACTACGTTTTTACTTGGTGACTGTATAATACTTACTTTATGTTCAGATATGGCCACTCGGCCAGCCCAACAGATGGTGTGAGGCTGAGTATTAGCGTAACTACTACCCAGTGAGTACAAAGAATAACCAGAGAGTTCTACCTGTTATCGGATATCGTAAAACTTTGACAATTGTATCATCCCTCATCTCTGATAGGAGACCAAATCCAGTCAGGAATTTGGGGTGATTCCTTGGAATTAAAAAACATGTTTTATGTCTCTTTCTTCCAAAACCATGTGTAATTACTACAGATTAGGAATGGGCGTCATTACAATGACAGGTATTAAATAAATCCTATATATGAACTAAGTAGGGGACCTGTTTAGAGAGAGAAAACATCAACATCAAGCAAGGCTGATATTCCTGCCACTCGTAACAATCAGCGTATTGAAATGTCCTCGTTTCTGGTACACCTGTCACTTACAATGCACTCTAATGTCACGTAACCACCCTGGAGTCAGTCATTCTCCCAGACAGAACAGGAACGGTTCACTTTCTACACTGTGCATTTTCTTCAAAAAATGGAAAAGCGAGACATCAGAAACGGAAGCATTTTGCACCAGCACAAAAGCCTGCCAGGAGTTCAGCTGGCCTTGACTTTTTCTCTACTAGAGAGCAGAACTTCTCTCGAGGGTAACAATTATGCTCTTGCCAAAACAAACCCTACTAAAAACACCTTTTGACGTTTTTGTCCTCTTGTGACAAATGTGAACCCAAAGGTTAGGTGAATGCTGGGAGCCAGTGTGGCCGAGCAGGGAGCAGTAAAATTGTCTCTCAAAGCATTAGTGTGTCCTCTGCTAAGTGAAAGCTTCTCATATCACCTTGACAGCCCCTTAGCAGACTAAATAGAATCCAAGAAACAGCAAGAGAGGTCAGGTTCAGTTTATCCCTAAGTTGTTGCAATGGGGGAAAAAACCTCATCCTCCCCTATCTCAGGCAGTATGCTATGGTCCCATTAACTATTTACATCTCTCACATCACACTCACACAACCTCAAACACGCACCACCAACACACACCAGGTAACAGAAGTAGTGACAGGCAATGATTAAATTTGCCCTTTTGTTCCCATCTTCCGGCAAGTTTGCTATACTGGAGACAAAACTATCCAGCTTCCCAATAAAGTTGCCTTTCACCTTATCTGAACCAAGTTGGGGCTCAGCTCTGCTCGAGGATATGCCTTCCGTCAAAACTCACTGTTTTCTGACATTTGAGCACATTTTCTGAACCCCTGGGGCATGGCCCCCCCACTTTGGAGTCATTTCCCAGAACTTCTCCATTTACAATGCATGCAAGACAGGTGGCCTCATTCTCTGATGGACGCAGAGAAATTAATTACGGGGGTTGGGGGAGAGCGTGTGATTGTCATCCGAAGTGTGTTTAATCAGACCCCACTGCCCCTGAGTGAAGAACGGCCTCAGTGTCCCAGGGGGGTCTCGCCTCCCTTGCCGAGCCCTGCCAGCCACAGCAGGGCTGCAGATGGACTCACCTGCCATTCTTGGTCACGATCATTTCGTTGGTGACTTCCTTGAATCTCTGCCAGAGAGGGGCGTCCTCCAGGATGATCTGCAGCTCCTTCTCCGTCGGGTCACCCTTTTCTCTCCCTGCCTGAAGCTCTCTCTCCACCACGTTGAGCAGGCGGGAAACAGTGCCATCACCCGTCTTCTGTGTGCCCTGCTCACTCATGGCCTCGGGCCCCTCTCAAACTTGCCTGGCAAACGTTACCTGCCTCGCCCGCTTCCACCTCCCTGTTCCTCTTACTTGCCTGTGAGAGGACAGTGCCTGACTCTTGCCTAAGCTCCTAGCATGACACCCCTTAAAGTCTCCAAATTATACCACCAACCTGTTAAGCTTTAGGGGAGGGGGGGAGAAAAAGCCCTCTCTTAATTACTCATTGGGTCAGGTGGGAGAGAGCCCGCCTTTCCCATTGGCTGCTATGCAGAGAGTAACCGTTTAAGAAGAGTACTCCATCCAAATTATCAGGCTTTTATCTTGTTGTACCTGAAGAGGGCTAATCGGTGTATTGAGGACCATTTTCCCGTTAATTAAAATTGTTCCAGGCCCCGACTGCAACAATCAGGCAAATCATGTTTGTGTACAAATCACGGCATGTGGCACCTATAGGAAAGGGGTCCTGGGAGAATCAACGAACTTGGTGCCAACACGAGCTTCCCTGACATGGTCAAGAGCCCCAAACCCTCAGCCACCCACCGGCCCGGGACGGAAGAGCACATATGGAAGGCTGGAGGTGCCGCGCCGAAGAACAGGACCACTGCACCAGGGGACCAAGGAGGGTGCACGGCATGCCACCCGCACAAGGGTCAGAGGTCAGGAGAAAAGAGTGAAGGGCCTCTTTGTCCCAGGGTGTCCCCTACTGATGACCCACACCCTGCTCACCTGTCACAAACAGAAGAGCTCTGAACCTTGTCCTCCCTCCCTAGAATCCAGAGCCCCAATTTTCCTTATCTCCAGCTCTAGCCAGAGGGAGAAAAAAATCAGTTAGCATCATGTTCATCTCCCTTAGGAAGCACTCTGCCCCCAGTGAGTGAAAAATACGCAGGCACTTTTGATGCTGGGTCCAGAAAGGCGCCCTGGCGTTCCCTTTGGACAGTCTGTGGCCCATCTGGCATTTCCGGGGTGAATTCCCACATTTCCTGGGAAGACACCAGGAGAAATGTTTCTTTACCCCCGACGCACACTACAGCCTGGGGAGGGCAGGGCCAGGGCAGCTCTACCTGCTTGACGCTGAGTAGATCCTGGGGGTGACAGGTCCTTCTCTCACTATCACAGAAAGTCAGGAGATCCAAACAGAAGGAAAATAAAAGCAAAAAAGGAAGACAAAGTCAGGGTGAGGATGACACTTCACGTGCACTCGGTGCCTACTAAGTGCCAGGTACTAATAAAGCGTCGCATCCTGTGACGAATGGAATAAATGGCCGCATCTTCCTGGCATTCACAACAGGAGAGAGAAGATGAACAGTATAAACAGGAACGAAGGGATCGCGGAGCATGAGTCTCTGATGGCTGCGGAAGACAGAGAGGTGTTGGAGGACATGTGCCCAGTGGGGCGGGGGAGGACCCAAACTCGGGGGGTCCTACGGAAACCCTTCTCTGAAGAGGAGACAGCTCGGCTGGGACCAGAAAGATGAGGAGGACGCAGTAGGGAGGGCTTGGGGGCAGCGTTCAGGCACCGGGACCACACACGAGAAGCATGACCTGGGCCAGTTAGAGAAGTGGGGGGGGGGGCAGCGGGGTCACACGTGGTAAAGAGGCAGTGGAGGGAGATGGCTTTGAGGGGGGCCTGGTAAGCGGCTATGATGAACTGCTTTATTCAGCATGAGACAGAAAACTAGTGGAGAGTACCAAGCAGGAAAACAGCATGATTTGCTTTGTGTTTTTAAAAATCTGGCTGATCTGTAGACAACAGACTAGTAAAAGGCAAGAGTTGAAGTAAAGAGACAAACGAGGGGGCTGTTATAGAGGTTCAGGCAAGAGACGGTGGTGGCTGAGCTTAGGGTGGTGGCAGTGGCCACAGAAATACGTGACTGGACTCTGGCTACATTACAGAAATAGATACGGCAGAAGGACATGAGGGACTCAGGCTGGGGGTGAGAGGGCGGGAGGAACAGTGTCTGAGGTGAGTATTTAGCAGATGGTAGGGCCACTTCCTGAAATGGGAACACCACGGGGCATTTGCTACAGTAGCAGTAAGACATTAATACAAAGACCACGAGACATCTAAGTGGGGATTTGAAAAAGGCACCGCTTAGAACTCTGGGTAAGGTGTAGCTCTGAGCTTCCTAGCAGCCAGTGCGAAGAGGGGGAATAAAATCTGGCATATAGGACACTGTGTCCCTAAAATATAAACAAGCCATTTGCCTGTGAGGAATTTCCCCCACGAAGCTTTACAGGGAAGACACTGTGTGATATGTGAACGCTTCCCCCAACAGTACATACATGCCAATAGGATGAGGATCTCTGTCCTCAGAGTGTAACCACCTCGGAGGGAGGAAAACGCGTATGCCCAGGGAATTCCAACACAGAGATGTGGGGAGTATCTTGGAAGTGCCAATAAGGAGAAATAAGAAAAGGAGAAAATAACATGGCTTTTTCTTATCAGTTCCATCCCAAACAGTGTGCTCCTGAAAACTCAGTTCGCACATGACTCTCCAGCCAGGGGGCCCAGGGAAGAACGGCTCTCAGAGAACAGTGCATGCAAAGGGTACGGACAACCCCCGAGAGGGTCACCCCGCAATCACAAATGGTTTCCACTCTCGTGACCTTGAGCCTGGCCTGTGTAGACAACGACTCCGCTTTCCAGGCTCTGTCACTTCCAAGGTTTGTATTATATATTTTAGATCGAACCATGTGGAATGGCTAATATTCAACCTTTTGTTTTCCCTAAAAAAAAAAACCAAAACCCCAGCAATTTCTTATGATTCAACCTAATTGTTAGATTTGACACTTATACAAAATGCTCTGACTGATACAGCAATATGATAATGTCATTTTACTGGGGTAATTGTTTTCTAGTTACTAAGTATCTTGCCTAGACAATTTGGAAAGACGGCAAGAAAAGAAACACTATCTATATTCTCAACACCCAGAGATAACCTCTGCTAACAAGCTCAGCATAACAGCATAGATATTTTTTACTTACAAATATAGCCACGCTGTTTCCTTGAAAAAGGTGGGGTTTGAAAATGGTGGTGATGAGGCATGGCTGGCTGAACACATGCTTCTAGAGCTGCTCCCCTCCAAACCCCTCTAACACGGCACCATGGTCACATACGATGTAAACCCACCAAGGTGAAGAGTACAGAAGAGAAAACAGCAGCAGATAAGAGATGTCAATGAAATTTTAGAAGCTGACAACACAAATGGCCGAGTGGCCGCAGACGGAGCAGACCAGGGAACACAGAAACCTAAGCCTCAGGGGGAGAAGCCAAAGCAGGCAAGCCAATCTCCGCGCAGAACTCTCAACCATCCCGGTGGCTGGAAGGGCGGGGGTGGGTGGTTCTGGCTAGGACCAAATAGGGACACATTGTGAAATTTTATATAAGAAAGAGTTAACTTTTGAGCCCCCACCCCACAGCCAAGCAGTTGTCCCTCCCCTCCACTAACAGCAGAAAGTACGAGACTGGCTTTCAGAAGAGAATTTGAAAGGATCTGTACTCCAGAGGTAGCAGTCACAGATGGGGGCAGGCATGAGGACCACCCTGAACACAGGATTCAGACACACTCCTTCAGCAAGAGAGTCCTCTGTGAAACGACCCATCCATCCCCAATGACCACGGATCCCAGCCAAACGGGGAAAGCAACGTTTGCAAGGCCCTGCCCTTGCTCACAGCATTCCATCGGCATGTATTCGTCTCACCCTTAAATGTGACCATACAGTAAGGGACCACCAGACATGGAAGTCAGGCCAAAGCAAAAAAATATACATGTATTAACACATTGTTTGCGGGCATTTTCCGGCCAAATCGCGTCGTAACAAAGAGGTCTCTATACCTGAGTTAACTCCCGCGCTTTGGTATCACATTGTTTGTGGGAAACGAGTAAACTCGTCATAGCGCTTTAACTCAGGTATACACACCTCTTTGTTACAACGCGATTTGGCGGGAAAATGCCCGCTTACAAAGTGGTATAAAAAGCGCTCTGACGAGTTTACTCGTTTCCCACAAACAATGTGTTAAGAATTCTGAGGAGCCAGAGACTAGGCGAGGAGCAGAAGATAACATAAGAAAAAGATATCTGTTAAACACAAGCTCTTAAAAACATAAGAGGAAATACTGCATTCATGAAATAGACAAGGATAGAGGAAGGAAGGGACGGAGGAAGAGTTTCCTCAGAAGCTACTAGAAAATGTCCTTAAATGAAGCAAGAGGGTAAACCCAGAAAAGAGCAAAACATGAAGCCCTGGAAGCAGGGGACCTCACACAGGAGGACCATGAAGGAAAGCTCCTAGAAGGGCAGCTGCGTGACCAGTGTGCGGACAGACGTCAGTGACAGGCTAGGCTTTACGAAGAAACCGTAACCGGGGAACATGTGGGTCAATCAGGGTGTATTTACCCAACAGACGCCGAGGGGAGTGGGCACACAGGGCGGACAGGCGGTGAACTTGTGCGTCTCCAAACGTCCTCACCACTCGGCGTACTTGTTGGTGATGAGTCTGAGTAAGGATCCCAGCAGATCTGCTCTCTGGCGAAGTGCTCCCACTTACACATGTCAATTTGGAGCAGTATTACACGTGTACACCTGAAACCACCTCCTGGGGCCAGACGCCTCCAAACTCTGGAAGTTAGGCAGTAGTACGGTAGCACGTACATGGACCAGGCACGGCCCAGTGCCACACACTCACGTACAGAACTCTCCTCGGATGCCCTCAGCACCGACCGTGCGCTGTGGAACTAGAAGCAGACATCTCTGCCACACAAACTAGCCCCCAGACCAGCCAGAGGCCCCATTCTACAACCACACAGCGTGCTGGGAGAGCAGCCAGCCCAGACCCACGTGGGAGCCCACAAGGCTGAAGGGAGGGTGTCTCTCTGAAAAGGGGAGTTGACCAATTACCTGATGTCCATCACTTTATCAAAAGGCATTTATTTGTAGGTCTGGGAGACAGTTTGCAATTGAATTAGCGATGGGTCCATATTATTTTCTATCACTGCCTAAGAAAGTACCGCCAATTTAGGGGCTTAGAACCACAAACAGTTCTTATCGCCTAGTTTCCATGGGTCAGAAGTACAGACACAGACAGCACAGCTAGGTTCCTGCTCTGGGTTTCATGTGCCTACAATCACCTGAAGCATTCACTCAACCCATATTCCCGAGTGCTGATCTGTGCTG